TCTATCTATCTATCTATCCATCTATCTATCTATCTATCTATCGATCTATCGATCTATCGAGCTATCTACCTATCTATCTATCTATCTATCTATCTATCTATCCCTTATCTATCTATCTATTTATCTATCTATCTATCTATTTATCTATCTATCTATCTATCCCTGATCCATCTATCTATCCTTGATCTCTCTCTGTATCTACCCCTGATCTATGTATCTATCTATCTATCTATTTTTCTATCTATCTATCTATCCATCTATCTATCTATCTATCTATCGATCTATCGATCTATCGAGCTATCTACCTATCTATCTATCTATCTATCTATCTATCTATCTATCTATCCCTTATCTATCTATCTATTTATCTATCTATCTATCTATCTATCCCTTATCTATCTATCTATCTATCTATCCCTGTTCCATCTATACATTCTTGATCTATCTGTCTATCTACCCCTGATCTATGTATCTATCTATCTATCTATTTATCTATCTATCTATCTATCCATCTATCTATCTGTCTATCTATCGATCTATCTATCTATCGATCTATCTACCTATCTATCTATCTATCTATCTATCCCTTATCTATCTATCTATCTATCTATCTATCTATCTATCTATCTATCCCTTATCTATCTATCTATTTATCTATCTATCTATCTATCTATCCCTTATCTATCTATCTATCTATCTATCTATCTGTCTATAGTTACCACCGCATTCTCCATCATTGAATCAATCCAGTCTAATTGTAAGGAGGAGACAAAGCGTTTTGCCACCTTGCTGTATATTTTTCAGTTTACTTGTTCGTGTGTAACGAAGTAAACAGGTAATACGTGACATCAAGGCCATAAATCATAATCTGGAACACTCTTCTGCCTGGCTAGCTAGCCAGAGGTGAAAAATTCAGAATAACATTAGCTCCATATTTGAGCTCTTTCTCTCTTCTTATCCAGCATCTCCGCTTGAATGTTTCACAGTGCTACACAGATTTCCTCAATATCGTATGAAAGGATTTCGGATACACCATCTCTTTATAGATGAATCATTGTCTAAAACAGCGCCTTCTGCATTGAAATGCACTACATGCATTCACTTGCCCTATTGTGGCCAGAGTAACGTTCTTACCATAATTTTGCCTCATTTTATTGTGTAAGCTAACTATTACTATTATCACTATTGTTATTATTATTCTCATCATCCTTATTTTATTATCATTCAAGTATTTGAAACTAGCAACAATGTTTAATTAAGCAGGATTTAATGATGGATTCATCAAATTTCGGTAGAACTCGTCAGCTGCTCAGTACTCTAGATACACGGATATGTATAATATTGAAATTACATTGGGAGATATAAGACTGATAAGTGAACAAACTACTTTGAATTAGTCATGCAGAAAGACAGGTGCGAATGTTCGCCAGGTCATTTTCAAATAGATAAGAGGAGAGGGAGTATGAGAGATTGAAATTAAGATAAAATGCACTACGCTTCCATTACATCACTTAGGTAAACAATTAGTCATAATAGCAAAATTATTCATTCAGACATCTATAAAACACAAAATAAGTGAGCAAAGAATATACTTTCCGATAATTTCCTCTTCTGGTTCAATAATTATACATATGTTTATATACACAGAATATTCTAGATTAGTAGACAATAACAAAATTAGTGTTTTTTAAATAATGTCGATTTGTTAAGTAAGATCACAATCGAATAAAGATATAGTAGCAAACAGAATATCAACTAAAATTAGGAAAATTCCACAAAAATTCAGGATCATTCAAACCTAGATGGCCAAGGTAATGATAATGTCTGAACTAACTTCTTTTAGATGCACAAATTAGGCTTCTTAATATGGAGACCAACAGCCTCAGCAATATTTAGTTAACAAACTCTTAAGGCGAAAGTGAGATTTGTCGGTATGCGGTAAATGACCCTAAAAGCATGGTTAACATCAGTCTTGTGTTCTGTATCCACAAGATGAGATAGAATAGCGCTGCGAATAAACTTTGTTTGTCCTTTACTTAACCACTTCGGGTGGTGTACGGAAATTCGACGAGAAACACACCTAATTGTACGGCGTATGTAACTGGCTCACTCTACAGGAGCAGTTAAATTGGTAGATACACATGGAAGAGGCGAAATCAGGTAGTTTCTATTTTACTCTCGGACGCAAAAGCGGAGTGGTTTTGAAGATACAGCGTAATTCAGTAGCAGGGAATGTTCTTTTTACAGCATTTCTAAGGTGCTGTGACAATATATCAAGAATTGCAAACAGATTAATATCAACAGTAATAGTTATAATAATAATGACAGTAATAATAATAATGCTGAAGTGAGTTAAGATAATGCTACTGATAAAGGATAGCCACAAATGAATCAAGAATAATAACAACAAGAGGCAGAATAAAGTGTTGTTAATATTAATAATAACAGACAATATGTAATACATATTACCATGCTAGATTCAGAGTGACGAATATCTTCTTTTATACACTGGTTTTGTTGTAACAGGCGAAGCCAAGCGACTTCATAACGGAATGTTTATTTTCAGTATGGGAAATTATCTTTACCTGATATATGAAATCTATCAATAGCACAGATCTTCCATGCTGTTCTAATTCTGCCCCTCTTCATATTGTGTTTGTTTAACTTCTTGTCGTGCCTACCATGTCCCACCACAATACTGTGGTTCACTGACAAGGCGAAGGTCACTGCGTGCTATTTGTCAATGAATGCACGAAAATGAATTACAATGAGTAAAGTAACTTTTCATTGGTTAAAGCAGTATAGTAAGCCATGTGATCACCACTATCGAACCCAAAGAAGCAGGGATCGATGAAAGCCTTAAGTGGTCAGTTGAAAATGATTTTCGTTACGCGCCAAGTGTTTACATCATACAGTTATGCATTAAATGAATTGACAAAAGCGTTGACAACTTGGATCGTGTTGCTCATACTGTTTGCATCAGATTTTTCAACAAAGATCATTTCAGAGTTATGGATGTTTGCCTCACATTGATCACCTCATCTGTGCCACCTGTACTCGAAGTGATGATGGCTAAATGAGTGAAAAATGAGGCTTGCTTCTGATTTCTTCTGCTGACGGTGATTGCTTCATGTTGCTTGTTAGATATTTTGATCACCTTCGTCTACTCTGTGTTCAAATAAAGTCTAATCCTGGCTACATTTTCCTCATTAGACTTGATAAGATAATTGTTCGCTGAAAAAATTATTTTTGTCGATCTTCTATGTCGTTTAGAACACAGGATCTGACTAATGAAGTGGTCTATCCACAAGGAGTACAGTTGAACTGGACAGTATCCAAAGGATCATATATTCTCCATATAACTCCAGAATAAACATTTCCCCAAACGAATTTGAAAATTCTGCCTCTTAAGGTGATGTTTATAAATCTTTATTATTCAACAGTGATTCTCGAAGACTAATCAAAATTCATCGATTCAAACGGGGTAAACAGATGCACACTTTTATCGACAGTCGCGTTCATTGGCTCCATATTGAACATCAAGTTATCGTCCAGAAGGAATTAGCGACAAGAAACTTTGCGGTGGAGCAAAAAATCAGGTGAGAGCCAAATGCTCAAGAAATATGTAGGGGAAAATAGAGATGGATTGGTTAGGTGCAAGTTGAGGTGGCTATTGAATTACATAGCTTGCAATGCAGGCCATCGCTTGAGTGGAATCCGGATGGGAAGTCACGAGCGGGTGGTCACTGACAGGGGTGACATGGATGAGATGGTATATTGGGGAGGAAGAGATGAAAGATCATGATCAGTAGTGGACCTAGGTGAAGAGGATACAAGCAAATAGAAAAATGTGGAGATGTGTTGTTGAACCTCGGAACCCAAGCAAGGACTGGTGTTGAAACCGTCTCAAACCAAGCATATTTTAAAGATAGGTCGTCAAGTTTACCTTAAAACTACATCATAACTCGGGCAAAAAATATAGGGAGTCTCACAATCGAATGTTTTCAAAGCCCTAGTTATTGAAGGCTTGACAGCTGTTTCATGGTTTTAAAAATTATTTCTAATTACTACTCTGTACTTACTTCGTTAGTCCAATTTTGAAACTAAAGATTTGTTGAATAGTGAGTGACATTTTGACTGTCTTCTCATTTATGACCTCGTATCTGTACTGTTGATCCTTGGATCAAGATTAAAGTCATAACCCATAGAGAGTTGATTACTCACAAGTTTGATCAGGCATCAGAATCAGCTAGAGAGCCATTTAGAATAGTCATGGAGTAATGGACAGCTGCCGCATACTAATTCATCGCTCTCCAACAGTACACAACCCTCAACTACTCCATCGGGGATCGCATCCAACACCTCTTCTGATTGTATAGGAAGCACGATGATCATTTTGCCACTGAGACAACCCGTATGGAAGCACTAACTGACTGACTTCACATTTGTCTTCGATAACCGCATCTTGTTGCCTATACTGACTGGGAGAGAGGAGAAGATTTCCAAACTGTTTTCAGGTTGATGAAGGCGTATCTTGCTTGCATTTCCGATTCTGGTTGTCTGATGTTGAAATCTTCATATGTTCCATCCACCTGTGGTTGAAACCATGCTTCCTAGCCAGATAAGTAAAGGAAGTAACCTCTGTCAATTCCCACCAGTTGATGGTGACTGATGCAGATTGTTATTGCTGTCGGTTGGTTATTTTCATCACCCCCGTTAGTCTTCTCTAGTTTCACATGGATGGAGTCCTGCTGGCCTCTCCTGCCAGCCTGGCTCTACTTTCTTCCCGACTGGACTTCAGTGACATGACCGCATCCAAGATTTCCACTTCCGCTGGAGGATTAGTGTCCACTGGCTGTTCTATGCCAACTATTGCCGGTGAAATTAAATGCAATATTGTACCAAATGCTGAAACATCCACACTCTGTATCTTTTGTACTTTTATGGAATAAATCAAATTACTGTTATTATTATTTTTGTTATTATTATTGTATTCACAAAGTAATGCTAAAAATGCCAAAACAGGACGTGGTATGATGTTTACTTAGTGAAATCTGTAAACACTTATTTACAGGTTCATTAGCGTTGCAACTGATTAAGTGCGTAGTACACATATGGATTCCCAAAAATGTTTTTAAACGTTTCTAACCTTGACCTGCTTTAAAGAAATACCTAAAGGCTAAACTGTTTGTGCGTAGGTGCATCTATACATATTTCCATATATATATAATAACATGTTCATCATAAGAAGTGGATTGAACGGCATCACACATCATACCATTACAAACCATGGTGTCTAAGCAAGTAGCGAGGATTGTCGTTGCTTCAATTTATCGACTGTTAGTTCTTGGAGTGTTCATGACATTCACTATCGTCGGCTATTGCTACCTGTATCCAGATGAACCGTTCCGTATTCAAAATCTCTTGGTACTTTTTAAGTATATCACATTTATCACTCTGGTAAGAGTTTCTCATCGTTTTCCATCATTCCGCTATTGCTTCTTCTTTCTAGACACTGGTACAGGTGTATTTCTCTGTGGCCACAATACTACAGGCATGCAAATCGGTTACAGTCCATTCTTACTTCTTTACACTGGCGTTCACATATAGTTGGGTAAGTTATTTCATGTAATACTTCTTTTGTTTACGTTTTGTTTCTTCAATGGTTTTATATGTGCTAACAGATTGATGTGGTCCACATAGCTATTAAAAATAATATTCCGGCACTAGTCAAAGTATGTTTCAGCCTAGTTTGTGACTCTTCAATAGCACATTACACCCTCATCACCTTATGGCAAATCCAACCCAACATCCATAGGTTGTGTGACAAGCAGTGTGTGCTGACCATTCAGTCATTGGAATGGGAGTGAATAATAGCTGAATAGTTGAATTCTAACTTCTGTCAATTTGTATGGTTTTCTTGTTGTTCTATTAATGCTGAGGGATCGCTTCGCGTACATTTCATCCTCCCTTCTATGTGAGACATTATTGTATCACTTAGTCATGAGCTTTTCTTCTTGATTGCCTCCTTCACACTCACACTTTTCCATTCTACTTAAGAATGACTTTGTTACACTGTGAAAGTCACTAAAACCCATCAGTAGGCTGAGTAGGATTTCACGAAGCCAACTGATTATTGATACTGCTGTGAAGACAGAGAGGTAAAGAGCGGGAGAGAGAGGAAGAAAGAGACATTTACTCTCAGAAGAGAAATTGACGAATGTCATCCTGTGAGACTCCCGGAAACCTCTCTGTATGCTTAGCCAACTCTTACTTTGCATTTCATCATCAGATAGGACTAGAGGTAATTTTAAAAGACGTTATGCTTAGATGAATGAGTATTAAAACTTTATGATGTCGTCATGGTTGGGCAGCCATTTTATGCGGTATGAAACTGTCGTAACTTACTGGGAGACACTAGGCAGACGTCCCTCTTGATTATTTTATAATATACTGTTGTCACTACCAATACAAAGTTCATATTCCCACTGTTTAATGACATTCTTAGTTTAATAATTCCCATTGTAACATTGTAAAGACAACTATTCAGAGAAGAGACTCTTCCCAACGAATTTATTACCAGGCAGTACAGTCATATACACGCATATATCAATAAAATAAATAATTGTCTATCCCTCTACGGTCAAGGCAGAAGTAGGGAATAAAAATGCTTCTTTTCTACACAAAGCTCTCGCTGGCTGAAATTAATGAATGGCAAGGCCTCTGCTGTCTGTAGAAGTTTATAACGAAGAAAATGCAGCAAGTTAGCATGAATTCGATAGATGATCTTAAAATCATGTTCAGAGATGGTAGAATGACAAGAAAGTCGATGATGTGTTCTCGAGTAGAGAGAGAAGTGATTGTGTTCTCGAAGCCTTGTCCCTCTTGTCATTATAAATGTTGGTTTATATATGAATTTCACACCGTGTTACACAACGTTTTACATTGGCCTACTAATCGTATAATTACACCTATCCTCCCAACACCCATACATCTCATCAATTATTCTACATATGACATTTATTGTTGTGCCAGTCGACACTGGATATTTAACTATGATTAGAATCACAAATATTTTGATTGAATTTCATACTACTAATGTATTATTATTATTATTATTGTATCTATTCACACCTCAGTTTAAACTTTCTCATGGGATGTAATTTCTGAATATAAAAAGCCTCATGTATGCATACGACTGTACTGCTTGATAATAAATTCGTTGGGAAGAGTCTCTTCGCTGAATATTGACATTATTATCAATGTTAATCTCCTGTTAGGCATTTTCCTCTCGTATTACACAAGCGTAACGAGGAAACAAACTGGAATTTCAAACACTTTAATGCTGAAAATTCTACGCTTCATCCAGACTTCCTGTTTGGAATAAAGCAGTTATCATTATTGGAATAAGAGACTCCGGGTTTTTGGAAATTTCACTAGTGATAATGAAGTCACCAGCCTCCCAAATATACACACACACGCAGACACTGACACACTCAACCTCACCTCACTTTTCCCGGTGTATTCTATCCACAACGCGAGGTTTATTAGTGCATCAGCAAGGAATTGAATCAAAACCATGTAAGTCATGGTACTCTACACAGAATGAATTTTTGTCATGAGTTTGCTTGTCGTAAAATTCCTTTTTTGCATCACTTGTGTTCATGACATTCTTCTCCCTTCCTACTTGTCTCTTCAATAAAATAGACAATAGCTTTGATATACCTCATTGTGTATTTGGTTGATCCAACTGTGGCGACTGAAAATCCTGAATTGAAGGCTATGCCTTTATGGTTCAACCATGCAACTGTAAGTTGATTGGGTTTTATTGTTATTATTATTATCATTGTTTTATTATGATATTGAAGAAACAGGATCCATCTCGTGTGCATCTCCTGTTGATTGACTCTTGTATTGGTGTGAAATGTTTACACTCACTTGCCATATCACCTCCTAGCTAGTAGAGCTGTCTTCAGGATTTCACATTGATCGTATTTGTTTATTAAAGGCTAACAGCGGGATTCACAATTCGCATTCAGTCCTACTCAGGACTCAAGAAATCTACCTGACATGGTCCAATTGACCTGCTAGATGAAAGTTCGGCGTTTGAAGCGACTGGTACCAACTTTGAATAGAGCCTACAATGCCTAAAGATAGCTTGACACATTAGAAGGACTAGACTCCTCTGCTAGTCATCATCGACGATGCACAATACAGAAATGAGTTGAGAGAAGTTGTTCCTTGTGACAATAATTTTCTAATCATATCTGTTCTCTCGCTAATTAATCCATTTTTAACTACAGTGAATGGTCTTAAAATGTCGTAATTAACAGACTTCATATTCACTGTGTGTAATTTTTAGCTTGATTGTTAGTACCTTAAAGTGGAATCAACGATGCGAATTTCGTCCTACTTCGGACTCATTATCTAGTTGCGCTGTGCAATCAATCCTTAGTGAGTAATACTGTTCACACTGATCCTCGAATCCAGTGGTCTTCGTTTCAGAAGGGAAAGTATCAATTATCCACTACGCCAGTGAGGCCACGAAAGCCACTTCTTGTGCAGCCCTATTGTTATCTGCTTTGAGTTAATATTTATTCCCACTGATTGATTGCATGGTACAGAAGTGTTTCTTCTCTGTCTCCATTTTGACTCAAAGTGCAAAAGATGTAATATCTCAAGTTGGACATGTGGTTACTGTAAGTGTAGAACTTGGACATTGTGGTAGAATGAGATTCCATGCTAGATGAGTCAATTTTAAATACAACACAGTGGAGTAACAGTATTATCAACTGGATATGAGTGGGTGACAATAGAGACCATCCATGCACCCACCCACTCACTCACTCACACACACTGACAAACATAACAAACTCATCTTCAAAACATCAGCCGTTTGTTGATTCATATCACCTAACACTGGAATAATGCAAAGGTCTAGTGGTAAGCATATGAATTTACAGACCGTTAGATTCTCGAAATTATTCCTTGTTGTAGATATGTTTTCATGTAGAAACCTTGCTTTATCGACAAAATCATCTGCAGAAGCTGTACCGACGTATTTATATTCACATAATTGTTACAATTATCCAGAAGTGGTTTCTAAGATGATAGGGTGAAATTACGTAACAGTCGATGACGAAACGCATGAATAGGTTCAAATTCAATACGGCGAAATGAGTTATTCAGTGAGAAGCAAAGTAGTTGAGTGTCCATTTGACATGTGTAAAGACAGTGAAATATTGCACAAAACGAATATGCAGAAGTGATCATAGTGAATTAATTGCTAGAAGCTAGAGTGAATGGTTAGGAAAGTGTTCATGTTCTTGGTAGAATACGACAGTGAACAAATCTTTCCTGCACACAGATTTCTGGGTTATATTGATGTGATACTGCCAACGTCTCCTTCATACACAACTCCTGAATTTTAACACCCCTTGATTAATGCAGTTCTCACCTTGTTGACAACTATCAAAAGACGACTGTGGTGGAGCCAGTAATTGTCTTCCGATTTCTTCTTGGTAACTGTATGTCGAATAATGTTCAGGTAAATGCTTGAAAATTGTACGCTTTGTGTGGAAAGCACAAGTAACGCTTTCGGAGCTAGTGAATTTATAGGCATATTTTGAAGTAGCACAAACTGGTAGTTCGTCCTTCACACATTCACCGACTGTGGAGATCGATACGCATGTCAGATGGTAAGGAAGCTTTTTTAAGAGATCCTGATAAGTGGGATCATCTTTGCCAAACTCGACATTCGTAATCACTGAATTCTTGGAAACCATAACGATGCTTTCAGGATTCTGATTTAATTTTGGCGTGTTACTCAATGAATGTTGTAGAATGTTCATCTTCAATGTCAACATGTCTTATTCTTGGCAGTGTATGCAACCTCTGGAGAGATGTGATTTTATCAGTAAAAACGGAAGTTTCTTCACTGAACTGTCTTTTATTTTCAACGTGACTCAATGGATATGTTTGCTCTTTCGAAAATATTTTTTTCATTTACGGAATGTAAATTACTATTGCAACTCTATATTGCCATGGTATTTTTTAAATGTAGCACTTCTTTGGACCAGTGGCAGTACTTGTCGATGCATTCGTCTGGAGACCGAAATCAGTCAAACTGTTAATATCCTTCATCGTTTGTTATATTCTGATGGCAGGTTACAATATCTAGTAAGTGTACGGCTGAAGCGATTTACGAATTTCTCGATCATTTTAACCATATTTTATGATTATTATTATTTGTGTAAAACGTGGACACTCTGATCGTATGCGATTAGTTCTCAATTCGATTCTTCATTCAATGCATGATATTGTAGGTGAGGATGTACTCTCCACTGGATGATAGTTTTCCGAACACGATTCACTATTCACAATTATGTGTTTAATTTTAAATTACACAGCTACGAAACTCGATATTTACATTTTCATCAGTTTGTTTGTGGTGTGACTTGACTGCTCTCAAGACCTTAATCAAAGATTGACATAAATTAGAAAACCACTGAGAACAAACCAGAGACTACTGGACAGCCACTTGTTTCACCAGCCTAGTCATGTGAGACTCATCGATTAGAAGGCAGTACCTGCCGAGTACAAAGGATGCTCGCAGACCATTCAGATACTGGGACTTGATCCAACGTCACATGAATTTTGCCTTCTATCAGTTCAGTGCATTAGTGCGACCACCAGCCATCGATGTCCTCACTGTTGAATACTTGTCCTCGCTCCTGACAGGATGGATGACACTGGTGGTCAAAATTTTTCACTAAACGTTCAGGCAATTTCATCCTGCGGCCAATCGAGAAATTCTGCCTCAACAAATATGCGTAAAAAAAGAAGAGGAAATGGATGAGATAGAGGCTGGGGAAGTTGTTTGGTGGCTTCTTCCGAGTGAAAAACGACTGATTGAAACAGAGAACGTCAAGATGATGACCATTCATCTGTGGGTACAGGAGCCAATGATCCACAAAATATAACTCCGTTCAATTCACAAAACAGTTTCCCACTGATCCGTGGTTTCCACTATCAGCCTATCTATCTTGACAATGAAGTCTCTGTGTGATTATTGTCGCTGTGCCCATATCGTTTTCATTTTCTGCGAGATTTCAATTCTCTCATCTATCCACCTGTTCAATGTTTCTTTCTTTCTTTCTTTGTTCGTATAGCATGGAAGTTTCAATTTCAGCATTCCACTTCAGTCCATATCCAAAACTTGACAAAATACCAACTGGTTATCGATTCTTAGTTTATGCAATTAGTTGGGCATTGGTCACTGTATTCACTCTGTGCAATTATTGCCTACTTCGTCTGATCAATCGACGTGGCGGTGATGCTGAACAACCCATCAAGGATGAAAAATAAAAACACTTTACACTAATTTATATCTGTAGTTCCTATGTAATCAATAAAAAAGCTTCAAAACTTGAGAATGTGATTGAATTCTTTCAAAGTTCAGAGTTAGCAGTGTGTAATGTTGTTTTTTTCTGGTTCGGGTGTGGGGAGTTAGCGTTATTCTACTTTGATTCTCGCCTACTGAAAGTGTCTTAATTGCAGTAAGTACAGTGCTAGTCTTACAGATTACGCGATTGAATATCCAGCCCCTGCGCCAAAGTAAATTTGTTGCATGTACATAGCATATTCACAGTATTGATGAGAGAGTCTGTAGGTGGGCTTTTTCAACGCATAAATCGGTGCTAAAGGCATTTTAGTGTACACAAAGAGTTTAGAAGTCATGATTGTGGCGGACATAATGTTACAATTACATCATCGAAGAGAAATAAGAAGTTTTACGATAGTGTTTACCGAAAACTTAGACATTTAAACTGACATTTGTGTACTAGGAAGAATTAATGATGAATGAAATGGTTAACTGAGAGTGCAGGATATCTGGATGGTTAGACACGAACAAGTTGAAAAATTATGAGAATAATTACAATAACATGTGCGATAAGGATGACTTGTAAGATAAGCATACACAAAATCCATACACAGAATACTCAGTTATGTCCAAGGTCCAGTATATTCAAACATCAAAATAAACTGTATAAGGAAAGAAATGCAGTGGCCATGGGATCACCAATATTCCCAACAGTAGCAGACATGTTTGTCATTGTTTGTGAACGTTAGGCACTTGGAGTATTTAATCCTACGTCTAGGTTCTGGTGGAGGGAGATGCGTGCATGACATATTCAGTGAGTAGAATTCAGAGTAGGTCAGGTTGGCAACAGTGTTAATGAGTGGTGGTTAAAATTAAATAAGAGTGGGGTTAGAGAATAATACACTTGAAAATAAGTAAGTTAATCGGATGACGTAACATAGTTGACTAGAAATTGAACGTGGGTCAAGTTAGCAACATTGTTAATGAGGGTAGAGATTACAAAACGGTGGGGTAGAGAATAATATAAATGAAGATGTGAAATAATATAATGCAAAAGACAAAATAATACAATTAGTAAGACTGAAATTAAGAAAGATTACGTCCATTGTAGATTTAATGAATGAACGAATTTCTTTTGTATGCAGAGTTCAGGATTTAGCAGATGAATTGCCATTGCTTCTGCGATGTGGAGAAGTTTGATCCGTACACTTTTAGCAAGATTGCCTTGTATTCTGTAGATAACTTTGAAGTTTATTTCTGGTTTGACTTGGTGTCCAGAGTCGATCAAATGTTCAAGGATCGAGCTTCGGGGGCATCGGTTTTCTCCTTTATAAAACCATGAAGGTAAATGTTCGTTGACGCGTTTGGATAGCGAACGCTGAGTACGGCCGATATACCTGGCTCCACACGAGCAGGTGAATTGGTAGATGCACATAGATGAGGCAAACAGCGGTAGCTTATCCTTCACGTTCATACGAATCATTGGTCTCGTGGAGAATGTCAGTCGTAATTCAGCTGCAAAGAAGGTTTTCTTCAATGAGTGGGAGAGCCGATTTCTCAGTATTTCTGTAGATTGGTCTCCATTGAACTGTAGGTTCATATAGAGAAGTCTTTTTGGAGCACTGGGTGTGGGCGGCTTCTCTGGTCTGGGTTTCATTGATTTTGTGATAAATCTTTCTGGATAGCCATTTTCAAGGAGGATTTTCTTAAGAGTGTTCATTTCATCTTCTATGGCGTCCAGGCTGCAAATTCTACGTATTCTGTGGCTTAGTGAACGGATTAAGTTTCGTTTAGTATATAGAGGCACCCAACTGTGGAAGTTAGTGAGCTGTCCGTTCCACGTTGGCTTTCTGTAGATGGATCTTTTTAATGTTCCGTCTTGTGGCTTCTCGTTAGTTGAACGTCGAGAAAAGATATCTTTGAGTTAGACTCTTTCTCTAGTGTGAACTGAATCGCAGGGTGGCAGTTGTTGAAGAACTTCAGGATATCTTCTAAATTCTCTTCCTGTTGTTGCAGATGATGAAGGTGTCGTCGACGTATCTCTTGTAGAGTTCAAAGTTGTCAATCATATTCTTTAGGCAAGTGTTTTCGAGTTTTGACATAAAGAAATCCGCAAGCAGAGGGCCTAGTGGTGAGCCCATAGCTATACCATCCTCTTGATGATATATTTTATTGTTAAAGGAGAACTGGACGTTTAGGGTGCATCTCAGCAGAAGTTCTTTTAGATAGTCGGTGGGTATGCCGATGTTTACTCCTTCTGAGTGGATGAGCTCGCATATGTGACAAATTGTTTCAGTTAGTGGAACATTTGTAAACAATGAGACAGTATCTAGTCAGATCATCGTGTGATTAGAAACATTGACGTTTTCGACGCAGTTGACGAATTCAAATGAATCTCGCACTGAGTGAAGGGAGACCTGTTTTCTTATTGGTTCAAGTAAGTTTGCTAGCCATCGGGCAGTGCGGTGGTATGGTGAATTAGTCATGTCGAGGATCGGTCGAAGTGGAGTGCCCATCTTGTGTACTTTAGGAAGTCCGTAGAGTCTTGGTATATTTGAACCAGATGGTTTCAGGGATTCAAACGTTTCGCTGGTAATGAAGGATTCGTTCTTCAGTTTACGGAGGATGTCTGTTAGTTTTTGTTCAATCTGCTACGTCATGCTTTTCTCGTTGGCCCGTTTGGTGAATTTAGATTCATCAGATAGAATGGTCAATATTTTACTGATATAGTCGTTACGGTTCATGATTACGATTCCTCCACCTTTATCAGGATGTATCAGCAAAATCTCTTCCTTGTTCATCAATTCTTTCAGCTCTTTGCAGTGTTTCTTCGTTAGTACAGATCTTCCGTTTGGATAGCAAAATCAAACAAATGAAGAAATTACCACGAGTGAATAACTAACACCCAGCAGAATTTATTCAAAAACATATGAAGAACCATAGTAAAACTTAGATTAGCAATTAAAAGTGACGGAAATCATGAGAATAATATAGCATGCGAAGCCTCTGTAGTACAGCCGCTGCATAAAGTAGGAACGTTACAGGTTTTACGTAGGATTCTCATTCAACCTGGTACTACGGTGGCACTGAAGTCATACAAGTCACTCAGAGAAACACTTTGTAGGCTTCAGCAACCAATAGAGTCAATTGAGAAAAGTAATATAATTTAGGAAATACCGTGTTATAACTGTGAGTAAGGTCAATTACACGAGGTGTCAAACTAGTAGATAGGGATCAGTTAGAATATTGGAACATAAATATTCATAAAACACAAAATATGTGAGCAAAGAATATCCTTTCCGATAATTTCCTCTTCTGGCTCTATAATAATAAATATGTTTATATACATAGAATATTCTAGATTAGTAGTCAATAACAATATTAGTATTTTTTAAATAATGTCGAGTTGTTAAGTAAGATCACAATCGAATAAAGAATTAGTAGCAAACAGAATATCAACTAAAATTAGTAAAATTCCACAAAAATTCAGGATCATTCAAAACTAGATAGCCAAGGTAATGATAATGTCTGCACAAACTTCCTTTAGATGCATAAATTAGGCTTGTTAATTTGGAGACCAACATCCACAGCAACATTCAGTAGTCGAACTCTTAATGCGAAATTAAGATTTGTCAGTATGCGGTAAATGACTTTGAAAGCCCGGTTAACATCAATCTTGTGTTCTGTATCCACAAGATGAGATAGACTAGCGCTACGAATACATTTTGTTTGTCCTTTACTTAACCACTTGTGGAGGTGTACGGAAATCCGACGAGAAACACACCTAATTGTACGGCCTATGTAACTGGCTCACTCCACAGGAGCAGTTAAATTGGTAGATACACATGGAAGAGGCGAAATCAGGCAGTTTCTCGTTTACTTTCGAACGCCAAAGTGGAGTTGTTTTGAAGATACAGCGTAATTCAGCAGCATAGAATGTTGTTTTTACCGCATTTCTAAGGCGTTCTGTTAGTATCCCGCTGAATTTGTCTCCGACGAACTGAATTCGTAAAAGTAAGGCCTTTTTACGAACAGTTAGTACCTCAGGCAGCCTTGATTTTTGATTCATATTCTTATCAGTTAACTTTTCAGGATAACCGTTTTTACTCAGCAACCGTTTAATATCATTAAGTTCCTCGTCAAGACATTCATCCGAGCAGATTGCTCTTGCTCTGATAACCAAGCACTTTATCAGATTACATATGTATTTTAAGGGCACGAAGCTAAAAATTGAGTATACTGACCCGTTGACGTTGGATTTCCATATTCACTTGTTCTTTTGTGCCATTCTGGTCATAAGGACGTCTAGTAATGAATGAAATACTAGAATCTATTTCCATCTCAATAGTGAAATTTATTGCAGGATGAACATCGTTAAATTTATCCAGGATGTTCTTTGCTTCCTCCTCATTTATTTTTAAAAAAAACTAATATTTTTGTTGTCTACTGTTCTAGAATATTCGATGTGTATAAACATTTACGTAATAATAATAATACAGCAAGAAGAAGAAATTATCGAAAAGGATATCCTTTGCTCAATGATTTCGTGATTAATAGACGACCTCTTAATGAATATATTCGCTAGACAAGAGAGAAGCAGAGAGAAATATGTATAAGACAAATTGTGAAGCAGTGTGACTAAATCGATATGATTATTAGCAGCAATAATCTGTGCTCGAAACCTTGTCAGCCAGTTGATAATACAGCCTCGCTGTGTGATATTTGAAATGAACTTGTCTAATATGGAGTGACATTTTACAACAAAGTGCCCAAGTTCCATACTTGCATTGACCAAGTCAAAATTGTTAACAGTTTTGACAACACCTTTATTCAACGACACTGTTAGGTATTCCCAAGCACGTGAATTTAAAATCCTGGAGCAACGTCCAATTCTGCTTGCTCCAAAGCCACAGTCGCACTGATAGATACAATTAAAAGTGGCTAGCCAATGAACGCCATCCCAGTTTCGGAATAACCACTGATCGTCGTGCGAACAATATTAGCTGTAACTGTATTTGTAGCGAATTTCTCAACTTGTCGACTATTAAT